GCAAATAAAGATAATTTAACTTCTTCTTTGCCTATTCTTATTCCCTTTATTTCTTTATCTTGTCTAATGACTGTAGCTAATAATTCCAGAACTATATTGAATAAGAGTGGTGACAGAGGACATCCTTGTCTTGTACCCGACCTAAGAGTAAAAGATTTCAGTTTTTCCCCATTTAGGATTATGTTAGCTGTTGGGTTTTCATAAATGGCTTTTACCAGATTGAAGTAGAGGTCATCTATTCAAAATTTCTATATGACTTTGAGGATGAATGAGTGTTAGACTTTGTCAAAAGCCTTTTTTGCATCAATGGAGATGATCATGTGGTTTTTAGTTTTTGCTCTATTGATATAGTGTATTGCATTTATATATTTTTGAATATTGAACCATCCTTGCATCCCTGGGATGCATCCAACCTGGTCTTGGTGTATGATCCTCTTGATGATTTGCTGTATTCTATTTGCTAGTATTTTTTTTTTTTTTTTTTGAGGATTTGGGCATCTATGTTCATGAGGGAGATTTGCCTGTAGTTCTCTTTCTTAGCTGTGTCTTTCCCTGGTTTTGGTATCAGTATAATTCTTGCCTCATGGAATGATTTTGGTAGGTTTATTTCCTTTTCAATTTCATGGAAGAGTTTGAGGAGTATAGGCACTACATCTTCTGTAAGTTTCTTCTAGAATTTAGCTGTGAATTCCTCCATACCTGGACTTTTATTTGTTGGTACGTTTTTTTTTTTTTTTACATCTAATATATGATTGGCTGTTATTGGGCTATTGAGAGTGGTTATATCTTGTCGTTTCAGTTGTGGTAATTTTTACCATTCTAGGAATCTGTCCATTTCTTCCTCTGTGTTCTATTCTGTGAGAGTAAAGATCCTCAAAGTAGCTATTGATAATCTTCTGCATTTCCACTGGGGCTGTGGTAATTATCCCTTTTTCACTCCTTATTGCTTGTATTTCAATTTTTTCTTCTCTCTTTTTGATAAAGTTAGCTAAGGGCATATCAATTTTATTTAATCTTTAAAAGAACCAGCTCTTTGTTTCTTTATTTCTTTGAATTGTTTTCTTTGTCTCAACTGAATTAATTTCTGCTCTAATCTTTATGATTCCTTCCCATCTTTGGGCTCTGATTTTGGTTTGCTCTTCCTTTTCTAGTTGTTGAATGTGCAGCATTAGGGTGTTTATTTGTTCCCGTTCTGTTTTCCTCATATGTAGTTCACAGCTAAGAATTTCCTTCTGAGGATTGTTTGCATCGTATCCCATAAATTCCTGTAATTTGTGCCTGAATTTTCATTGAATTGTAGATATTGTTGAATTTCTTGTTTAATTTCAACTGTGACTCATTGCTTGTTGAGTAGGGTGTTGTTTAATTTCCATTTATTTAGGGTGTTTTTCTAGTTTCTTTTGTCATTTATTTCCAGTTTCATTGCACAGTGGTCAGATAATAAGCACGGGGTACTTTCTGTTTTCTTGCATATACATAAGCATGACCAATGGACCATTATGTGGTCTATATTAGAAAATGACCCATTTGCAGCTGACTAAAATGTGTATTCAGCTGTGTTTGGGTGGAACACTCTGTATGTGTTCATCAAGTCCATTTGTTTCAAGCTTTGGTTCAGTTCTGTTATTTTTTTGCTAATTTTTTTGTCTGGTTGACCTATCTTTTTGGGATAAGGAGGTGTTAAGTTCTCCTGTTAAGATTGTGGTATTGGATATTAGATTTTTCATGTGCATTAAGATTTGCTTTATACAGTTGGGTGCTCCCGTGTTAGGTGCATACATATTTATGAGTGTTACCTCTTCCTCTTGTATTTTTCCTTTAGTGAGTATATATTGGCCTTCTTTATTTCACTTGATCATTATTGATTTGAAGTTGAGACTGTCTGAGAATAGGATTGCTACCCCTGCGTTTCTCAGAGGTGGTGAGGCGTGTAGTATTATTTTCTATCCTTTGACTTTTAGCCTATAAATGTCTTTATGAGTTAAATGTGTTTCATGTATAGAGCATATTGTTGGATTTTGTTTCCTAATCCACTGTGCCAGTCTATTTCTCTTAATTGGTGAATTGAGTCCATTTACATTGGTGGTTAGAATTGAGATGTATTGACTTACAGTTGACATGTTATTTACCTGTTGTTGTTTACTCCTTTTTCTTCTGTGTTTAATTGTTTGCCCTATTTAGTTGGTTGCTTCTGATCTCGTTCGTGGAGTTCTGATCATTCTGGTCCCTCTCCAGAACATCTTTCAGGAGCCTGTGTGGTGTTGGCTTTGTCATCATGAAATTCTTTAGTTGTTCTTTTTCATGGAAGTATTTCACTTCTCCATCAAACTTGAAAGAGAGTTTTGCAGGGTATAGTGGTCTTGGTTGGAATTTGTTTTCATAGAGAACTTGATGTCCTCTGCTCCATGCTCTTCTTGCATTCAAGGTTTGTGAAGAGAAGTCAGCCGTAATTCTGATGGGTTTTCCTTTGAGTGTGATCTGCTTCTATTCTCTAAAGGCTTTCAGTGTATTATTCTTGTGCTGAATTTCTGGGATCTTGACTATTATATGTCTTGATGTGTTTTTCATTGGCTTGAAGTTACTTGGCGTTCTGTATACTTCTGTTACCTGAATGTCCCAAGGGGGTGGAAGAGGGTCCCACCCAAGCTGCACCTGCGCTGGGACCAGTAGGTCCCACTGGCGCAGGGTAGCTGGAAGCTTTCCCACACACACACTGGGGCCTTGGCTAGGACTGGTTCTGGGGGTTCACAGAATGCGGCAGAAATTCTCACTTGGCAGGTGGGTTGGGGGTGGTGTTGCTAAGCGGTGGTGGGGTCACAAGAGTGTGTAAGAGGATCTCACCTGCACTGCGCCTGGGATGGAACTGGCAGGTCCCGCTGTCACAGGGTAGCAGGAAGCTCTCCCACACACTCATCGAGGTCTGGGCTAGGACTGGATCTAAAGCAAATTTTTTTTACTCATATACACTGAATTTGTAGGATTTTTCACTTTATTGACTCAGTGTGTGTGTGTTTCCTACAAAATGTTTAAATTGTGCATGCTCAAATTTGATGGAGTTTTCTTTTCTTGCATATCCTGTTTGTGCATTTATGACTTCTTACTTCAATCTGAGATAGTCTATGTTTTCTTCAACAGCATTACTATCCCTATTTAGTGATTTAATATAGCTAAATATATATTTTGTGTGTGGTCTGAGATAAAGATCCATTATTATTTCTAACTCATTTTCTTAACACTTGTTATAACCTGCTATTCTTTCTTTAGGCTATTTACAATGCCACTGTGGTGACAGTGCCTTTGTTTAGATGTGATCCTATTTCCACAGTTTATTATTAGTTGATTTCCTTCTATGCCACTGTGAAACTGCTTTAATAACTACATATTTATAATTAAGTGCTGGTATCTAGTAAAAATAGAGCTTTATACAAACATTTAAGACTAGTTTTGTATATTTTTTGCCTTTGCCCTTTGTTTTAGATATTAGGTGTATCTTAATAAGTTCCATGAGAGCCCTTTGCAGTCTTTCTTGCATGGAACTTATAGGATAATTTGCACTAAATTAAATAAAGTGATAGCACTACCATTTTCTTAAATCTTTACTTTATATTTATTTAATCTCCTCATTCAACATATTACATATATCCCAAATTAATTTATAGATAATTAAATCTTTCAATGAAGTTCTGTAATAATATTTTCAAAGCTACTATATATCTTTTATGAGATATTCTGAAGATTTATAACTTTTATTATTGAAAGTATACTCATATATTCAGTTTTTTTTCTCTTGGGGTATTCCTGAAGTAAAAGAGTGTGATATTCATTTATTAACTTTATATGTAGAAACCTTTCAGATTTATTATTTCTAATATTTTTATATTAGAATATACATTTTATATATAATATTTTATAATATTCTGCATATCACTAATTGTAGTATTTTGATGTACAAATAAAAGTGGAACAGAGGAAAGAGTCAAGAAATGGGCCCTCTTACATACAGACAATTGAATTATGACAAAAATGAAAAGAAAAGTAAGTGGAGAAAAAATAATCTTTAAAACATATGAATATGATAAAAATTATATCCATATGAAAAAGTGAACTTTATATCATACCTCATACCATGTATATAATGACTCAAATAGTTCATAGATATGTGTTAAAAAGCCCAAAATTATAGCATTTCCAGAAAAAAATAGAGAATTGTCTGATTTAGAGTTTGGAAAACATTTATTAGCTGTGACACCAAAAAAATCACCGGAGAAAGAATAAAATATAAAATGTATTGCATTTACGATATCTGTAAGTCAAATTTAAAAATTTTTATATCTGTGATGTATACAATCTGTTATATGTTGATATGTTTCAATAGATTTGCTTTAAAGTGGTAGGAGATGGACCTATTCTCTAAACAGTTAAGAGGCATCCAGTGAGCTCTAAAGATGTGTTTTCCCAGTTTCTTTGGAAGATTTTACTTATATTTCACCCAAATTCTCCTTTACTGTATAATCAATGTTTTATTTTCCCTTTCAAAAAGATATTAACCACTCACCTTGTTTATTTTAAACAGGTGATCACTTAGGTAGTGTAATCTTTTTTTTTTTTCCTTCTTTTTTTTTTACATTTAGTGCGTGTGTGTGTGTGTGTGTGTGTGTGTGTGTGTGGCCAGCTCAGCCCACCAGGGGGTGGGGCTGGCTGGCATGTGGTGCTGGGGGATCGAACCGCGGTCCCTGTGCTTTGCCAAGCGTGTTCCAAGTAGGTGCTTTAGACCACTGAGCCATCTCTCCAGCCCCTGTAATCTTTTTTGGTTTGGATTTCTTACAGGCTGATCCCAGAATCGTGAGATGGAGAATGCATATAAGGAAATCCTGCTAGTCAAGGGTCTGGATAGCCTCACTGATGAAGAACTGAAGAGGTTTGTGTACTTTATTCCACCAAAGTTCAACATTGCCAAGAGCAAACTGGAGAATGCCAGCAGAGTAGAGATAGCTGAGCTGATGATTCTGAATGCGGGTGTGAAGTCTACGATGACGACGGCCATTAAAATTTTCAAGACATTGCACCAAATGTTGGTGGCACAATGTGTTATAGAAGAGAAAAAGAAAGGTAATGTGGGAATAATTCAACTTTATTGGCCTTGGGGAGGTAAAACTCCCAGTGCTCATTTTTGGAATTTGCTCCCTAACTTGGTGCACCTGGCCTTTTGCCCCCTTTTCCTGTAAATCACTAGGGATTTGTTACAGTGACATAGAAACCATCCCAGCATTAGTTTGTCATCTCTTGTTCTAGTCTTCAGGGCTAAAACCTAGCATTTCATCCTCTCTTTCCATTGACCATCTTTGCCTCCAGCCACCCAAACAGACAAATGAACACATGGCTTCAGAGTTCAGGCTCAAAGCTCAGGGATGCTTGCATACTCCATAGAGGACTCAGTCATAACATGCAGGCACCGAGGCTCTGAGCACCATCTCTGCTTCTCTCCGTGCCAGTCTGTAGTAGTCCTACCTGGCCTGCCTTCTTTTCTATTTTAGTATGTTTATGATATATACTGACAATGTTCATTGTGAATTGCAACATGCAGATGTTATACCTTAATCCCTTTCATCCCCACACTCCATTTATAATCAATATTCCTGTCTGCAAAAGGTCAACCTCCCTGCAGTGGATGCCTTCTCTTGTGCAGGGATTCTCTCTATTCTGTTCTCCAGTGTAGATGACAATATAAACTTCCCAGGGCATAAAAAGCAGATTTATGTTATTCAATGAATCACAAATCCTTTCCATGGAATGTCTACATTTTAATTGCCTGATTGCTTCCTAAGAACAACTACTACATCATGGGTTTGTGTCAGAAGGACTAAGAGAAGCCAATCCAAAACACCTCACTCATAGACTCCCTAAAATGAGAAACTCTGAAGGCAGTAACATTTTTTTATTGTAATTCTTTTTTATTTTGAAGAGTAAAAACAAGAGCAAGAAAAAAAAAGCAAAGATAAAAACAGGGTAACATGTAACAATACATACACTACAGGTTTTCAAAACAAGAATAGCAGATTAACAGTGATTGATATATTATCTATTTTTGTCATCAAATCTGTTCCTCAAATTAACAGATATAGTTATGCAAGATGGGACATATGATTGAATATTGCCACACGCTTTCAAGAAATCTTAAATTTTTGTTTTTGACTTTCATTTTCTTTCATTACTTTTTTAAAACAAATTTACCTTAAAGAGAGTATAGTAACAATTGATATGACGTTAGAAATGGTACACATTTAGAAGACCAAGTTGATAGGTATTTCAGGTATGGTTTTAGTATTACACATTTCTGTCTTCAATGTTATTGCTTATTTCACAAATATCAACATAGAGAGGTAGTCAAGGTGAGAAGTCTCCCTGATTGAAATTCTTAGGTCTGTTACCTTATCCATCTTGTATATATACATGTATGGTTTTACCCATACCTTATTTCCTAAATTTTCTCCTTTATCCTTCTTTGTTTAATTCTTAAATTCTGTTTCTTTCCATTTAACTGAGTCTGTTATATCTTTAAGTTTTTATTTCTTCTTTTGAGTTCTTATGCTAGGGAGACAATACGATATTGACCCATGTGGGTCTGGTTTATTTCGCTTATGAGTATAGCCTCAAATTGCATCCACTTTCCTACAAAGGCTTCAAGTTTGTTTTTCTTTATACTGAGTATTACTCCATTGTATAACAATACCACCTGTTTTTCATCCATTCTTCAGGTGACGGGCCTTTTTGTTGTTTTCAAGACTTGGCTATCACAAATTGTGCTACTATAAACATGGGTGCACATATGTCGCTATGATATGATGTTTTCAGTTCTTTTGAGAAAATTCCCAGAAGGTGATAGCTGGATTAAATGGGGTTTCCAGTCCTAGTTTTTGAGGAGTCTGCGCACTGATTTCCATAAAGGTTGCACCAGTCTGCATTCCCACCAGCAGGGGAGAAGGGTTCCTTTTTCCCTGAAGCATCTCCAACATTTGTTGTTGATTGATTTCTTTATAATAGTCATTCTTTCTAGGGTAAGATGCTATTGTAATGTTATTTTAATTTCCATTTCTCAAATGACCAGTGAGGTGGAACATTTTTCATGTATTTATTTGCCTCTTGTATTTCTTCCTCTGAGAAGTATGTATTGATCTCTGATGCCCATTTTTGGATTGGGTCTTTAAATTTTGGGGCACTAATTTTTTTTTAGTTCATTATATATTCTAGATAGAAGACCTTTGTCTGAGTGATTATTACTGAAGATTTTTTACAGATTTGTGGTTGTCTTTTCATTCTGTTGCTGATTTCTTTTGACATGAAGAAACTTCTCAATAAGAGGAGGTCGCAGTTGTTAATTCTTTCAAGTAACTCCTGTGCACTTTGATTTTTGTTCCTGAAATGTTTGCCTACCTCTATGTCTTCAAGATTTCCACCTACTATCTTGTATAGGAGATTTAGAGTTTTTGTTTTAATGTTTAGATCTTTAATCTATTTTGACTTTCGTTTAGTGCATGGTGATAGACCTGGATCTAGTTTTAGTTTTTGGCATGTAGAGAGCCAATTTTTCCAGCACCATTTGTTAAAGAGGCTGTCTTTCTTCCAGTGAACATGTTTGGCCCCTTTGTCAAAGATAAGGTGGCTGAGTGTGTTTGTAGTTGTATCTGCATTTTCTAATCTATTCCAATGATCCTTGAGTCTATTTTTTGCGAATACCATGCTGATTTTATCACTGCAGCTTGTAGTATAATTTCAAATCATGGATTTAATTTTACTTTTTTTTATGTATTTGGTACAGAGTCTACAGGGTTTAAAGGATCTCACTAAATATGTCTGACTCATAGTTATTCTCCTGCTGTCAGCCTCCCAGGCTCTGGAATTACAGGCTCATGCCACCATGCCCAGTCTTAATCTCCTTCTCAGGGTGCCCTGGGGGAGGGCCCAGCAAGGCATGCCTGGGATTGAACTCCAGCCACTACGCTTTGCCTAAGCAGATGCTTTAGTCCATTGAGCTATCTGGCCAGCCCCAAGTCAGGGATTTTAATGCCTCCTACCTTGCCTTGTTGCCCTGGATTGCCTTTGTTATTCTAGGTCTTTTCTGGTTACAAATAAATGTTAGGAATGATTTCTCTAGGTCTGTGAGGTATGTTGGTGGTAATTTGATAGGGATTGCATTAAATCTGAATAACAATTTTGGAAGTATAGCAATTTTCACACTGTTGATTGTTCCTTTCCAGGAGCAAGGAATACCTTTCCATTATCTGAAATCCTTTTCAATTTCTATTTTCAGAGTACTGAAATTTTCATTGAATTGATCTTTTACTTTTTTAGATAGATTAGTTCCTAAATATTTCATTTTTCACAGTGTTATTGTTAAGGGTATTGTCTTCTAATTTCTTGCTGTGTGTTTGTTATCTATAAAGAGGAATACTATTGAGTTTTTGATATTGACTTTATAACCTGATATGTAGCTTAATTAGTGTATTAATTCTAGCACCTCCTTATGGAATTTTTGGGTCTTCCAAGAAGAGTATCATGTCATTTGCAAATAATGATAGTTTAACTTCTCCTTTACATATTCTTATTCCTTTTATTTCTATCTCTTGTCTAACGGCTCTAGCTAATGTTTCCAGAACTATTTTGCATAGAAGTGGTGATAGAGACCATCCTTTTACTGTTCCTGATCTAAGAGTAAAATATTTCAGTTTTTCTCCATTTAGAATTATGCTAGCAGTTGGATTGTCATAGGTGGTTTTTATCAGATTGAAGTAGAGACCATCTATTCTAATTTTCTTTAGGGCTTTGATCATGAATGAGTGTTGAACTTTGTCAAAAGCCTTTTCTGCATCAATATAGATGATCATGTGGTTTTTGGATTTGGCTCTAATATAGAGTCAAATATAATTTGACTTTAATATATTGTTTTAAATTTATAGATTTGTGTGTGTTGAATCATCCTTGCATCCCTGGGGTGAATCCTACCTGTTCATGGTGTATAATCTTCTTGATGATTTACTGTATTCTATTTACTAGGATTTTATTGAGGATTTTTACATCTATGTTCTTGAGGGAGGTTGACCTGTAGTTCTTTTTTCAGTTGTGTCTTTTCCTGGTTTTTGTATCACTATAATACTTGCCTCCAGGAACAATTTTGGGGGGATTGCTTCCTTTTCAATTTTATTGAAGAGTTTGAGGAGTATTGAAATTATATCTTCTGTAAATTTCTCATAGAATTTAGTTGCGAATCCATCAGGACATGGGTTTTTCTTTGTCTGTAATCTTTTAAATTACATTTTGAATCTTATTGGCTGATACTGGGTTATTGAGAGTTCTTATATCGTCTTCATTCAGTTTTCATAATTTGTACCTTTCTGGGAATCTGTCCATTTCCTCTGTGTCTTCAATTCTGTGAGAGTAAAGATTTTCAAAATAGCTATTGATGATATGAATTTTCACTGGGTCTGTTGTCATTGCACATTTTTCATTCCTTATTGCCTCAGTTTGAGTTTTTTCTTTCCTCTTTTTGATGAGGTTAGCTAGGGACTTATCAATTTTATTTAATCTTTCAAAGAACCAGCTTTTTTATTTTTTAATTCTTTGTATTATTTTCTTTGCTCCAATCCTTATAACTTCCTCCCTTCTTTGGGTTTTGGGAATGATTTGCTCTCTTTTAGATACTTATGGTACTTCATTAGGTTGTTCTGTTTTCCTAATGTGTGAGTTCATAGCTATAAATTTCCCTCTAAGAACTGCTTTCATTGAATCCCACACTTTCTGCTAAGTTATACCTGAATTTTCTTTGAATTATAGATATTGTTGAATTTCTTGTTTAATTTCATCCGTGACCCATTGGTTGCTGAGTAGGGGATTGTTTCATTTCCATATATTTATGGGGTTTTTCTGTTTTTCTTGTCTCATTTATTTCCAGTTTCATTGCACTGTGGTCAGATAATATGCATGGGATAATTTCTGTTTTCTTTCATGTAGTTAAACATGACCTATGGATTAGTCTAATTTAGAAAATATCCTAGGTGCAGCTGAAAAGAATGTGTATTCAGATGTATTTATGTGAAACACTCTGTATATGTCAC